TATGGCGCTCGACCATGACCTTTGACCTTTTGGTGTACTCAGTGTTTAACTATCAAGTACTTATAATCACACTGTAGTGTTTCTGTCGGGCTTAAAATCATCTGCTCAGCGTTTCAGGTGTTTTTTAATCCTATTACTACAACTAAAATAACAAATTTTTAATAAAATGTTTAACCACTGAGTGTTGCTAATTATGATTTTTTATTTAAAAAAATTGCTTATTTCTATAATTTCCCATGAATATTTATGTATTATTACTGCAAAATTTTTTTTATTAGTTTTTGAAAAGTTATAACTAATCTTTTAAAATATATATTTTATAATTTTAAAGATAAATCAACACATAACGTCTGCTCTTTTGGACCACAATAATTTTCTCTTTTGTTTTGCGGCATTTCTTTCAAAATACACACATATGTGGCATGCTGCCAGCATCGGTTTCCACCTAAACAACCTCTTGAAATTACAATAATTTATACAGACGATTCCCAATAAAATGATGTATTTAAATCTCCTCCATCACTCGACATGTGATTCACTCCTTAAACTGCACATAATTTCAGATTTATTTGGTCATTAAAGTGCAGTAAACTTGTAACTTAAGTTTACGAGCAAATCTAACATGATTTAACTAATGTAAGACTTAATTTCATTCACTGCAGTTTTAAAGCGTGTCATGCAGCACTTGTGTGAGACGTTACAGTTGGTTTGACAGCTGCGGTGCTGGACAGTAGGAGCTGGAAGGAGAGGATAGTGGTTGGCTTGGAGGGTCAGAGGTCAAAGGTCAGCAGCCTGGCCTGGGATCACGCTCTCAGACAGCAGCAGTCCTGCAGCTCACAGTTAATATTAACCAGAGTCCATTTGGATCTTATGTTAAAAAACAAACGCCTCTTTTCTCTGCACCTGCAGCCTCTTCACGCACCATTTAAGGGTGTTTATTAGAGTGCGCTGTCATTTCACTCCGGTCAAAGCTGCGGATTATTTCCCGAAAAGTAATAAAATTTAATATTAAAAAATAGAAACATTTAGAGATTTTTTTTCTTAGTTTTATTTTGTTTTAATGTTTTTTCACTTTTACTTTTTTTGTGTTCTTCGAAAAAAGACAATCTTCATCTTAAAAACGGATATTTTTCACTCTAAAGCCGACTAAACTCCAGCTTCGATATCGGCTGTGAATCCTCACACACGTTTACACAGATATCGACGAGGCGCTGTCATGCGTAAAAGACGCACGAACACGCCGGTTAAAATCTCGCCAGTCTGGCCTAGAGGTGCGTTTCTTCAGTGCTGTCGGGACGTCCCGTTAAAAGAAACACACACACACACACACACGCATACTTCACGGTGGAGGCTCAGCGCTGAAAACAGCCGCTGTGCACGTGGAGATTGATTTAAAGTTTCGGAAAGTTTGACATCTACCCCAGGAAATCACTTAAATACCCAGAAAAATGCTTCTAATTTCATATATATCAGTGATTCAGTTTTCTGTTGTGATGTGCATTACCCTCTGAATATAATCAAACTTTCACCGAGTGAGTTAAATCCTGAACTGAACAGATTTGTTCAAGCGTAATTTAAGTTTTTGAAATCGCATTGTTTGCCATTAGTTTAACATTACAGTCAGAATTTATTTATTATTGTAATTTAATCATTTATTCGCCCGATTCTTATTATTTTGCTGTCGCGCAGTTTTATTTTAATGTCCTCACAACATTTCTAACATTATGGAGGAATTTTTCGCTCACTGCTTTAAAAAAGGTCCGTTTTTGATTACTCTAATCTCCGACTTCCAGAACATTCCCACACAAAAAAGGTGATTTTAAAGTGGCTGCACCGTGATCCATCTTAATTTCAGTCGGATCTCATTGGTTTTTTTTAAGTGTTCAGAATTTGCAGGAGAATAACGAGGACTTCATTTTATTTCTTTTGCTTTAAACGTTAAACTTCGTGCTCTCTGCTGCTGCAGCGTCACCGCTCTGTCTCGTTCTGCTGTAATAATCCTGTAATCTGGCGCTTTGGCGTCTGTGCCGTAACCTCGGGATTCATCTCCGCCGCTTCTGCTTTCAGGCGTTATGGCAGCGATCCTAAACAGCACGCAGATTGTGTGTGTGTGTGAGCGCGTATATTCCGCGGTGATAAAACGGACCATCAGCAGTAATCTGAGTCGATACGCGCCGGCAGGGCCGATGAGGGATGGAGGGACAAGCAGGAATTAATTGCCGTATATAGTTTTGTGTTTGTGGAGGGGAGAGAGAGGGAGAGAGTGAGAGAGGAGGAGGGGGGATCGATCCACCGACCTACCGGCCCGCTATTTATCATCCCAACACGGTCGTATTGAGGTCTCCTGGGTGTGTGCGCGCGCGCGCGTGTGTGCTTGAGTGGGTGGAGTGGGGGTGTAGATAAAGC